GATATTGTTACCATCTGTTGCGCTGAATCAAATTCCATGTTCTTTTTGGGACACTGATGGGGAACATTATACTCCAGCGACTAACATTTGACAAGAAGCCAAGCTGGGAGTTTTTCCTAAACTGGTTCTGTCTCTACACTTCCCCCCCCCCATCCATGCGGCTGATGCAATACCTCGAGTCATGTGGCTTTACGTCAGTCGTCCTGGATAACAACTCATCAATTCAAACAGTCGGCTGCACATAATGTTAGATTTGTGATTGGTCACAAACCAGTTACCACTTCATTTCCAGGTCTTAGGATGAAGCGGCAGCCTCCATCCCAACCCCCCCCATATGAAAGTGGAGAGATACCGATGACTGACCACATAATCAGGGGTGTGAGTGATCACTTAAAATTAAAGCTGAAAACAGCTAGCAAAATGCTGAAATGTAAAAAGTCCCCATATTTTTGAACAGACCAGGTGTACAAAAAAGCTGAAATTCAGGGTCAACATCTAAACCAAAAAAGCTGAATTCTCACACCCCTGATAACCGATACCTGCCCCCGTACTCTCCTTCAAATGGCTGAACTGAATACACCATTACGAAGTTGGCTGAGAAATGGTTACCCAGACGCGTATGCAACTCAAAAGAAGGATCAAGTGGCTTGTTAGGGCCCTCCAAGTTACTCCATTTGCTCAGCTACGCTGGTAAGCAATGGAAGGTCCTCAATATCCTCAAATACAAGAAGTGCCCTGAGCAAATCTGGATCCAATTCTACAATACACCCTTCCAACTTCAAAGTCCTTCCCTCATCCCCAATGTACTGTAGAATAACGCCCACTCAGGGGAGAGGCAGGGAGAGAGAACGGTGGAGGGAGGGCAGTAAACAGTATGAGCCAGTAAGAATTTACTTTCGACATGGATGCCTCATGCCTCCCTCAAGTCCCATCCATTCGTATCACTTCCCACTTCCACCCTGGAGAAAAGACCAGCCGATAAGTCTCGGCTCTGACCTTGCACAAAGCCAACTACACTGGCTACTCAGAATAACATGCTGCATCAGTGCAGAATTTGAACACCCCCCCATCCCAAAACAGGGGAAGAAGCATCACTATTGTATTGTCATGACAACCAGTAAATCTCGGGAGTTGAGAGGCCACTGCCTATCCTCAAGAAGTGGATGCAGGTTTCCAGTCTACCTCTCATTTATGTTGTCATGCTGTCTCCGCTTGGCACACTGCTTCACAGATGGGTGGTATCCTGTGGAAGGCTGCCAGTTCATGGCATCCAAGCCCCTCTGGGCATTTGACCAAGGATTTTAACACTTCCAAGTCCCTAAAACTAATAACGTTTGGGGCCAATCATCTTTGGCGCGGCTTCCCCTGCAAATTTGGCGCTTACCATGTTTCAAAAGCCGGAAGGCAAATTTCCAGACAGAAAAATCTAAGGCCGGGCCCTACTTACCACAGCAACCGCCTTGGAAGCTGCCAGCTCTGGTGTCGAAATGGCTGTGAAATAAGCCACATTGGCCATGACATAGACAACGATCACCAAGGGAACAGAGATGACAATAGCTCGCGGAAGATTCCTGAAAACACACCCCAAGAAGTAAAGAATTTCAACATAGTTTCCTGCATTATTAAATTATTATCTGCCTTGACTTTTAAATCAAAGTGTTAAGAGCCCAAACAAATACAAATAATCATAGACATGGAAGAAAAAAAATTATCCTGTCTTTCGTACTTACTTATATGGATTGACCAACTCCTCTGTCACAAAATTCAGATAATTCCTGAGGAGAAAGCAGAAGTTACATGGAAATAAAATACAAATTGACTTTTTGGTAACACGTAGGGAGTGCACTGCCCAAGTGAACCTAGCAAACGAAAGTATAAACCCTAGAAGTGGTCAATTACTTTTTCCCTGTTGATTAAAATCATGATTTATGTTTATTAAATTAAGAGAAAAAAAAACCAAAAAACAAATCAGTGTTCATTCTCCGGAGCCGATAAGGCCGGCTCAAGACCAAGCACATATTTAATCCCATTCATAAATACTATTTTAGTCAGAGAGTCAAAAGATGCCAAAATATGATAAAAGTTCCAAGGATTTTGTTCACGAATTTTACTTTCATTTTCCCAGACACAGAGGCAGTTTACTAGCTGAAAGGCAGTTGGATCTTTGTCGTTTGCGACTGGTTCTCTGCTCAGGCCAAACAATCTTTTTAGAAATTAGTTCTGTCCCTTCTACATCTGAAAACAGAGTACATAGGAATGTTTTTCTTGGGGGGGCACTTGTTTTGAATAAAGGAATAAATACTTGCTAAGCTGGTCTTAAACGTGCTCTAAGACAGGCTCAGGAGAATGGACACGACTGATGCCCGAACCGCAGACGAGGGCATTTTTCCCTCAAAGCTCGTCTGATACTTAATAGCCCATGACACACCAAACAATCAGCATACTGTTTGTTTTCAGTACAAGTCAGACTAAAAATTGGTTTGCTATTAACTGTCTGTTTAACGAACATGTTCATGATCCAAAACAACAGAGGCTATTTAATGAAGAAGCCAAGCTAGAACCCATGGCAATGCAGGGATATCATTCAGACAGCAACTGGTACCAATTACAGTGTATTTGTCAAAAAACATAAGCTAAATTTGTCAGTAAATTACTGCCCAAATGATTTTACTTTTTTTCCCGAAGACAAGTATGCCATCAATTAAACTGTCCCCAGACTGTTTTTTTTTCCAACGGTCATTATGAGGGATCGACTCATTTCCACAAGGGAAATTCTCACCATCCTCCGTAGGCAAACAGGCCAGAGTAGAGAGCCAGCACAATGTCAAAGACATTGGAAGAAGACCCCTCAAAGGCGTTCTCCAAGTTCTCAGTTTCGCCTGGGAAATAAACAGTAAATTTCACTTGTTTTCTTCAGGACAATGACAACAAACCAACTTATGAGATACTGTATAACTCAATATGCTGTACAAAAATAAAGCAGTAAAGGAAACAGTTGAACATTGCAAATTGCTGGGTGGGAACTTTTTATTCAGTGAAGGAACATTCGGACTAAAAGGAACTTTACAGCCCATTGATAGACTGGATTCCTGTCTCATTAATGAAGACAGAAGAAGGTCTCACAGATTCGGGGATTTAATTGGTTGCTATCACGTATACATAATTATTCTTCCCAACAGTCTGGCAAAGTGAATTTCCAGTGTCTGATCGAGTCTAAGTACACTAAATAGAAAGCATGCAGTTGCCATTTGTGTTGACCTCATGACAGCTTATCAGGGAGACAAATCTATCCTAATATGCTGGTTGGTATCTGGATTCCGCAACAGAGGAATGAGACCAGGTTTGAACCACGGACTTACCCCTGAAGAGTTGGACCAGACCTGCGATGATAATGATGATGAGGGCAATAACCTTGGCTGCAGTGAAGACATCCTGGACTCTTGTTGCTGCCTTGACGCTGATGCAGTTCACAAAGGTTAAGACCACTAAAATGAAACAATAAGGATTTCTTCAACTGGATAATTTTGCTTTTAAGTATCATGCTTGGTGTAGGCTGATCTCATTTGTTCTTAAAGATGTAATCTCGGTTCGCAGATAAATGTCGTTAAGTTACATACATCTAACAATGGAAAATTTCTGTTTGGTTTTGTCCCTCTGATGACAAAAAAAGCAGTTGAATATTTCTTAATTTCGATACGGTTTGCACTTGTCTTGAATCTTAAAAAGCTTGCAGGATTTAGCCCTCACTTTTATGAAATCCTTGCAATGTAAAGTTTTAGAATTCAACCCCAACTCCATGGGATTCTTGGCCTTGAAGCTTCCTGTGTCTTCCAAATGTCACACAACGCAATGACCCCAACTGGCACATGCTGTGTATTGAGAACACACTGGGTAATGTTTGGGCCTTCCGTAATCAACAACTTAAGGAAATCACACAAAACAGGGTGCCTTGGGATTTGAAACATCCAGGGTTTAAACAATAAAAAACAAAACCAAACTAACGGCAACAGTCATATGTACTGAAGATATATCAATGCGTTTTAAACCGCGGTGACCTGGGGGCAGAGAATGGGGATCCTCAGTGTATGTACTGCTATTCTAAGCAGATGAGTACAATTTCTCAGTTTCCAATCGGCAGTTGTTCTGTGCAATCGTTGTTTTAATTCTTCTGGAGAATTATCAGCCACAACTGGAAAAAGATGGCGCCTGTCACTTTCTTGTGATCGAATATCTCGTACACTTGCTATTTGTAATCTATCCCACCCCGCAATGCAAAAAACACAGTGATGCATCAGTGCATAAGGCTATTAAGCAGCAACCATATGATACAGTGATTTCTTTTCCCAGTAATGACTGAAACATTACCAACGAACCCAGCATTAAATTAGCCAATTTGGTCATAGTGACGCTTTCACAGCACCCCTTGCGTGAAACACAATCAGATAATGTCCTGGGTGTTTACACAAGTTTGCGTCATACTTTCAAAGAACATTATTTGCAGGAGAAACACTTCAGTTAATTAGTTGTATCATAATGAGTTGGTCTAAAAATGGGGCTAATTTTAGCAATCCACTTCAATTCACAACAGGAAATTCATATTTCTTGTGCGTCGGTAAAACAACTTTAAATCACTGTAGACTGATACTAATTCAAAAATATTGGTATGTGAATTTTAAAAATATATATACAATTAAGCATCCTAATTACCATTTACAGTTACAAGACTGAATTATAATATATGATCATAATAGTATTTTAAAAATCACATTGAATTCAGGTGATTAACTAATGACATTGTTGCAATACATGCATAAAATGCAAGTCATAAATTGTATTACTTCCATTAAGTGCGGATCCAAGGGAAGGCCAACGGGAGCGATGGCCCTCACCCCCCAAAAAAAAAATTAAGGATTTTTTAATCAATCAGAGATTCATTAAAGATCAGAGAAAGATGTTAAATTAAGTTGTTTTTATGGACAGAGCCATTTTGTTCAGGAAAATTGTTTCTTACCAGCTGCTTAATTGTGACTGGGAGCATTCAATGCAAAAGTGCACTGGGCATGCAGCTGACTTAATTCAAAATATATACATAATCAAAACCATAACTGAAAAGGGAACTGATATGAAAATTTTATAAGCTTATGACCAAACTTGCAATAATACATGATGAAAAAAGTACCCCTAAACATGCTTGTACTAAACATAGAATTGCAAATTAGTACAACCTTTCCAAATTTTTTATAGGAAACCGAGATATTCATACTAATAGAGGACATAGTGTTTTTTTTCTCAATAAAGTCTAAACTAAGTCATGGCTTTTGATGTTTTATTTCCCTTTGCTTGCCCAAAGCTTGACATTGTCTGGTGTGAGCAAATCCCAGTCCATTGGGTACACTGCGCCTGGAGAAACACCTCTCTTGCTTCACCCGATAGCTACTTCAGTGAACCTTTAAATCCTAAAATGAGTTCTGCAACCACGACAAACACGTGCGTAATGCATACAATGTATAACCTCTAACTTCAGTTGTTTGCTTTTTGCTCGTCTTAGGTATGCATAATATATTCATTAAAAATCGTGGCACTAGATTCAATACGACAATTGTACCATCGTCAGGTTGTGGCTTCTTCTATGTTACCATCATTGTGTGCATAAGCCTACGCGTTGATTACAAACAATTTCCCTTCGCCCCAGCGAACCTGACGAGAGATTTGCTACTCTCAGGACAGCTGCAAATTGCTTCCACGGCGACGCAGGTAAAATGAAACACCATATACGGAAATCATTCATCTATGAATGGCACGACGACGATGACGTCATTCATATGACCCAGGACGCATTTGATACACATCTTCCCTCGTCCTCATCAGCACAGCAGAACAGTGCGTAGATAGCAGCGAATATCGATCCGGGGATTGGCCATAGTCTATTCATTTCGGCGAGGCGGCATTTGGGCTGCTAAATCGAGGCTTGTTTTCTCCGACCACACGAGGCCTCCCACGATCGAAACGAATTTAAATTTCCACCTGCCACCAATGATACACCCCAGGGTAAAAGAAGAACCAAATATCCCGACTCGAAATCGACATGCGTCAGTCTTTAAAAACATACCCGAACGATTGCGAATTCGGCTGTCGATAGCACCTTTTGCAAGCTTCACAGTCTACTATACTCATGATATTTCAGTGCTTTCGTCGGTAATATCACCGATTTTACAATGAATACATTAGGTTTCTCGTACCTCATAAAAGCAGCATTCTCATAGGCAAAGCCTAGCCCTATACTCCCGGATTCGCCATAAAACGCTGCTGCACCACGTGCGAAACGAATCACATGCAGAAGGCGCGGCATGCATGTCATGTAGAACTGCGCGCGGAATCTTGGCGGGCAGCCAATTTTGTTCTACATTATGAAACAAACACGACCGCTTTGCCCGCGCATTGCTAGTGATCTGTGTCGGCACAGTTGCCGCCTCTCTCACTGGACTGCGTCCCAACAGGACCTTTAGCTTATTTGTTGTTTAATTTCTTCGTGGCAAAAAATGTAATGCAATAGATTTCGTGAGCCACAAGCTCAGATGAGCATAATCATGGGCAATGTGACAACAAAGGCAAGTGTGCAGTGGGGTGGAATTTAGATAATGGGACGGGATAGGGTGAGCACCCTCTCTGGAAAGTTGATGCTCCCATCATGGAAATTAAAACGGAAACTTCACACATGCCCTTTCATCAAGGAACGATGTGTCCTGTTTGTAGGCCCACGGGGTATGCTGAAGGAAAAATGACTGGCACTGTGTAAACACTCAAACTGTGTTGTCCAGCGCATTAAAAAATGGCCGACTTTCGAATGATGCCCATCAGAGAAGTTCTCAACATTATTGTAAACGAATGCAACTACGACCTTTGATGGGCGTTGTCTACTTTAGTTTGCTTAGCGTTAAAATTGCTCATCTTCCTGATTTGATTTGTAATTACATTCGATCCGCTGGCCTTCCTGTTTTGAGGAGGCACCAAGCCGTCTGAATCCGGAAAGGGGGCGCAATGCAACAGGTAGATTTGTTTCTGGCACGACTGGGGCTCTTAGTTCACGATTCAACTAAAGGCCATATTGAATGAAAAGCTGCAGTTAATGATGCTTGCAATAGTCCACTAGAAAGTACGGTGACATTGTGATCGTTGCAATGATCAGAGAAAATCATGCTAAATCCGTAAAAAGATTGGCAGTGGAGCTCGCGTTATCATCGAAGCATTCATTATTTAACAAACACATGAACGAAGGGACTAATTGGTATGCAATTTTTCTAGTTTCCGTGAAACAGGTGTGTTCATTCAAGCTTTACAACATCCTCCCAACATAATATAATCACACCATTATAAGAGCAGTATAATTCGCAAAATCTGCCGTATGCAGAAAATACAAGCTTTCATTTTGTGTTGAAAGTGTTTCCTTTTATGTGTAAAGTGTAGCTGCAAATTTTACCATGCACCCATTTTCAAGCAATTTCAATTTCCTTGGTTCAGCATATTATTACTGGGTCTGTGCGAGGTTATACGCAGTGGTGTAGCTAGGATTTCACTAGGGGGCACAATGGGGGCGCCAGTATCTTACGGGGGGCACCATCTTTCGGTGTTTTTTTTGGGGGGGGGGCAAGTTTTTGTCAGTCGGGGGGGGGGGCACCTGGGGAATTTGTGTGTGGGGGGTACGTGCCCCCAGACTCCCCGTGGCTACGCCACTGGTTACACAATTACATCCGTAATAAAAAGACTACCCTGCAGCACTTCACAATTTCTCGGTAGTTCATGCATAGTAAATGAAGCAATAGCCAATCACTAATATCTGCTGCACCAAATGATGAGGTGTACTTTATGCGTTTATCTTTTTCTTGTAACTATGGGGTGCAAAGCCATCTCTTGTGATGCACAATTCCCCAAATATTTTGTATTAGGCCTACTGATTTCATGTGTGATGAATCAAAATCCAATCTACTGTGAAATAAATTTAAATGTTCACATTATACATGCAAATGTATCTCTCGTTTTACATTAACCCTCCCGGAAGCTGAAAATCAGCTGAAGTTAATTAGCACGAGCCCACAGCGAATGGTTCGTCTTCGACAGGCGGCCAGGGTCGGTAGTTTCTCACCTTTTTCAGTCATTTCCCACAACTCTCTTCGTATCGTGCAACAAAGAAATGAAAAATAACGACGACCCTTTTAAATCGACATCAATGATGCCTTACAATCTATAATGGGTACGAAACGGTGTAAAATGTCTGAAGACGGTACCGGAGAAGGCCCTCCAAAAACAGCGTGTACATGTACATGCTTTGTATGTGAGTTCTGTGCATATTTTGCTGTCGATGCTCCGTGGATGAAGAAGCAGAGTCAAGTCAGCCCCTTTATGCCTTGACTGATGCCGGCGTATTATTGTCTCCTCGTCATGACGTCAGAGAGATTTCTCCGCCTGCTACTTTGGCAAACTGCCAACT